CACGTGTCTGGCGATCATGTAATATGTCCACTGCGCCGCCTGTACAACATCATACAAGCACGAAGGGAGCTCCGGATGCAGTCAGAGCTTCATCTTTGCGGGAGTCTGAGAGCGAGTACAGTATCAAAGGCCGTCAAGCGGACTGCAGCACGAGCTGGTGTCTCACATCAAGCGTACGCAAGTCAATCCATTCGAATTGGCGGCGCGACTGCGCTCGTAACAGGCGGAACCGACATATTGTCGATCAAACCACTGGGCCATTGCTTCGAAGAATATCCGCGTCAGTCAGCCAAAGCGTCATTAGGGTTATCATGACGAATGGTGCAACGCCGAGAGGTAACTACGCGGTGATCAAATCACTAACCTCACTGGGGCCGCTCTCCGCGCCCTTCGACTTACTACAATGCTCTACAAAGTTTCCAATCTGGATGCGTGATGGAAATATTAAACGGATAAGGGATTTGATAATCCATAAGCCTATTCTGGATTTCCAGAACCCTGCTCAGTGTTCTATTATACTAGCTCACTGGGTTGATTTATCTGTTTGGTAGCCACATAGTTTATGTGACATACAGTCGGTCCAGTGGAAGAAGTACGAGGAATTTCTATAATTCAGTACTAGTGTACTGAATTATCTAAATTATCCCATTATTTCATGGTGTCAATAACAGGATGATTGTACTGAGTTCGCACTAGTTAAAAATCAGTACCAACCATAAGTTCGCATTCGTGTTAGCATCAAGGTACTGTGTAAATATTGGCCGATTGTGAAACTTGGTTTGCAACGTAGGTCTGATAGGTTAACATTCAAATGGAGTTGTTTGATTGGCTATATATGGCTCGGCGCCATGCTTTGTTTAGACTAAGTGCACTACTTGACATCCAAAGTCGTGGCAACTAGAAGTAGCTTGATATCGACGGAAGTGGGGCTGATATCGCCGAATTAGTGTTAAATAAGTACAGTAATATTGATGGTACTTCTAACTGCATTCATGCCCATCAAGAAGGTCGATATTGGTTACTGTGGGAGTCTGCCCATGGAATAGCGTTTCCACGAAGCCTCCGACGGCCCTGCATATGCCAGTAGATGTAGTTTGAAATGAATCTCCTCACTGGAAACCACAGCTGTGCCCACGAGCTTTACCGTGTTGCTCGAAACTACACCCGACGGCATCTACATGCTCGGAGCTATGGCAGGTGTGATGGGCTACCCATCTTGCCTGAGCTTTGCCCTGCGTCGTGTCAGCGGCCTTGCACCAGCATGAGCATCTCCGCCTTGGCACATGGGTCTGTACGATGTCACTTCCGTGGCTTAAATCCTGTCAATACGGACCATCTAGCCAATCAAAACCCGTAAGTCCCAGAAATACAACCTCGGTTGCAAATGGCCGATAATTTAGGTGTACAGAAACATTCTTTTGCTTCAGCACAACTAAAGTGTTGAGATTTTGACGCCCAGCTTGAGTTACTCCTCAGTTTGTAGTACAATGCACGTCCTGAACCGTCCATAATCGATGAACAGCTTTGTACTACTTCTGCGAAGGAAAATGCATTTTCCTTTAAAAAAATCGCGAGAACTCCGCCGCGTTTCTTTTAGGGATACAAGTTCGCTGTGGGTCTATCGCGAACTAAACTGGGCACCTGTAAAAAAAATACCGTGGACGCTCAAGTTGATTTCGAGTTTGAAATCATCGCGTTTGTGTGGTTGCACCAATCAACAAGAGGGAGACGAAGGAAGAAGCTACAGACGGTCCCTTCGGTAGTAATGGAATACTTCCTCAGCAGCAAATAAAAAGCAGCCAGATAAATACTACTAGTAGTAGCACAAACACAAGTTATTATCTCCTCTCACCCCTTCGCTGTAAAAAGGAAAACAACAAAGGTCAAATATTCCTATTCTGGGGTGCTTAACTATGGGAACAGCCATACTTCCACAATAGCGTTCTTCTACCAAATCCGGTGAAAACCGATGCAGCCATCCATTTGACCACTTTGTATTAATAGGAAACTCGACCTTTAAAATCGTGGAGAAGTGCTCTGCCTTACCCTTAGCGCCTCACTGGTGACGGTAACATCCTTCTCTTCAAACAGGAGACACTACTAGCAAGGGACTGATCGAGTTCAAGATGGCGCACCTCGTGCCGTGATTCTGAGGTCAACTGCTAGACCCCATGTGTCTCTACCCGGAGTGAACCGCAATCGTCCCTATTACTGGATTCTGTGCATTGGTCCAAACTACAGTATCTCAGATCCATTTTTGTGGGGTACATTCGGGATAGGAATACAAGTAGACAGGAATAAATTGGATCATCCCAACGCTTTGACTGCCGAGGGGATCGTCTGTAACTACAGCAAGCTAGTATCACTAAACTAATACCGTGCGTTGCCCAGGAAGCTCTGGAAATTTCACGTTGATAGCAAACGGCTCTTCTAACTAACAAAACCA